CCCCAATAACCATCGAAAGAGTACATGACTCAATCTTGATCAAAAGTTCATCAAGGAAAAGATGTGAAAAGGAGTGATCTGCGGGCCCATAAACAACTATAAATTCACAGAGGGTATTCATAGATCTGTGCGAGAGAACCACACTAGCCCAATAAAACCCATGATCAAAAGCAACAAAGTCAAAAATGTCCTTATTAGAACCGATCAGAATCCCTCCAGAGTGGCCCGAAGCCGGTACAGATTGCCAATGAAATCTATCCATACCCACGATAGCAGAAAGCTCACTGGGGGAAAAGGAATCCTTAAAAGTTTCAACCAGCCCCACAAAGTCAATAGAATTAGAACGGACCAAATCTTTCAGTTGGTCACGGCGCCCCCTAGCACCGAACCCTCTAATATTCCAGAATAAGGCCCTCATTTATACGAAAGGTTCTTGATACGGAGGCTCGACCTGCTGGGGGCCACACAGGGTTTAGATCGTTTATTAGTGTCCCTCTTAGCAAGGCAGGATGAGGGCTGGCCACTACCAGCACCCGAAGCCTCCCCCACACCACAACCAACATCTGCGACCCGCGAGGCAACGGCCTCTTTGGCTTTCGCAATGGCCGCTTGGGCCAATTCATTAGCCCGAATAATAGCAAGAAGCGAACTGGGAGAGCCAACAGAAGTGTCAACCACCAAACCCACATCCGACATAATGTTTAAAAGATGATCATCAGACATCGAAGGTAAAACCACCCGAACCGGAGAAACAGCGACAGATGGGGATGGGGAGGTACCTGGGGGAGGGAGGTCCTTCGCCGCTGCCCTCTTCTCCACCTTTTCCAGAATAGAGCCACCAGAATGGGACACCCGCCTACCTTTGCGGGCCGTGGACACCGGGGAGCGGATAGCAGGCGACCGCGCAGCAGGAGAGCCAGCGTGGGGGCCCGAGCGGGACATGGAGCCCAGATCATGATCAAGACGCCGGCAGATCCCCGTCATGGATTGCTTCGAGCCCGAAGAGGTCTGGCTCTTAGCCGAGTACTTGCAAACTGAGGATTTCTTCTTCGAGGGGTGTTGGGATTCCACCATGTCTCGAGTAGGAGAGCCAGGGAGATCTTCAATACCCGAACGAGTGGGGGAGATAGGGCGGGCCGAAAGGTTGGAGCATGCAGCAGACACAGGAGTAGCCGAGCAGGGCGGAGCCTTAGGCAGATCAGCAGCAGCAGAGGGGGCCATCTGGGCAGAAGGGGGAATCACTACATCTTCACGAGGAGCATCACCAACAGGCGCTTGAGAGTGAAATAGCTCACGTTCTGAGTCTGCCAAGCCGTCCCATTCAGATTGAGTGAAGCGGAGATTAGACCCAAAACTTTGATTGGGGCCACCAAAAGAACCATCCCCATCCTTGTCATGTTTATCCGAAGGATTAGCAGGAGTAGGGGGGAGGTGGAGCATGGGAAGCCGCCGCCGCCCCCTCCACCCGCACCCGCAACCTGATGCCATTGGGAGAGGGATAGACATCAATGAAGCCATGCACCCGATCAGGAACAACACATCAGACCTTCATCCGAGCAGGACCAACCTTGTTCAAAGACTCCTCATCCACCTCAATGGGTTTCCCAATCAAAACCCCAAAGGACATGAGGAAAGCAGACGAGCGCAGACTAGCAGGTAAATCATCAATCAACACCCACACTTGAGACAGAGGACCAACTGCATTGCCGTTGGATGCAGCCGCTTTGACAGAAACCACCAGTTGATTAAGAGGTAAGGTGAAGCTGGTGCAGGAAGCGATCATTCGCAGGCAATCTTTGGAGGGGAACACCACAGAGAAGTCAAAATCTGACAGCTGCACAACTTGCCAGTCCCAACCAGCCACATCCCAGATGTGAAGCCCTTCCAGCAGAGTTTGGGGGGAGATCTTTTGGTCTTTGACAGAGACAATAGCTGCGTTGGACAGCGTAGGAGCCACCTCCCGAACAGGCAGGTCACCATCGAAGGCAAAGAAGGAGCAGCCAGGAAGACCCAGACCAAACTGGATGACCGCGGGAGGTTTCTGCCTATCCATGCAGTTAACCGTGAGGTGACCATCAGAGCGACAAATCAAGCAGAATGGTGGATTGGTGCATCGAGACTGAAAGTGGCCCGGTCTGTGGCAAGCGAAGCAAGTAAGCGCTGAGGGGTTGCTGTGGGAGGAGGAGGAGGGGCGGGATTGTTGCTGCGATGGGGGAGGAGGAAGGATCCCATCCCCAGGAGCCGGACCAGGCGGCCGACGCGCCGGCCCCGCGAAGGATCGAGGCGGCGGACGAAAGCCAGGTCCGGCCCCAAAAGAGCGAGGAGGAGGGGGAGGTAGGGGCCGGGACGGAGCCGACGGGCCATGCCCAACACCCGGAGCCGGGAGGGAAGCCGAGGACGAAGACACCCCACCGCCGGAAGCCACCGCCGCCTCCCACGAATCCAACACCGGGGAAGGAGAGGGACCAGACCCAGAGCCCTGCAGGCCAGATCCAGTCACCCCCTCCTTCACCGGGTGCTGCTCCCGCTCCGGACCCGACGCCCAGGCCTCGCGGGCACGAGCCGCCTGCTCGCGTGCCGCATGCTCCGACTCCAGCCTGGAGCGTAGCGAGGCCTCAAGCTCCAAATCCAACGCGGAGGCGGGGGAGTCCTCGCGGTGCCGCTTGCTACCAGAAAGCGCCTCGCAAGAGGAACCCCTAGACTTGTCCATGGAGATCACCGCAACAAAAGGAAGAAAGAGGGGTGGAGGTGAGGGGGATCTGATGATGCGACGGATGGGAAGACGATAGCGGCGCAAGTCGGCGGCAGAAGCAGGAAACCCTAGAAGGAGGGATACCGAGCCGCGAGGGATCCACATATAGCCCAAGCGAGCCGTGCCCCCCTGGGCCCGACTCGCCAAATGGGCCGGAGAGGGACGGGGAGCCGGTAACCGGGCGGGGGACCCGACTGGGCCAAGAGGAACAAGCGGGGGGAAATCGATAACCGAAGAAAGGAAGGGGGGAGGGGGAGGCCCACTAGCCAGCACCGCCCCAACAGGCCCAGCAGGCCCACACGGGGAGAAGGCCCGCGAACCGGCGGCCACTACACAGGGATCTGGATCTAGGGTACACGTAGCGACCAGCGGCCCCACCGCCGCCGCCGCCGGCGATGGAGCCCCCGCCGTCGGAGATGGAAAGGGAGATGGAGAGCCTCAAAGCTCCCCATCAGGAGCACGACCCCAGACACCAGGCGCAGGGGACGCGAACGCAAGCTTACCAGATCTACGCCGACGTCGCGAGACCCGGAGCCAGCCGTCGGCCGACGGAGGCACCCCCAACTGCCGGCCCCGACCCCCGGGAGCAAACTTACGAGGGCGAGGGGCGGCGCAGGTGACCCCCACCTCCCCAGAGCAGGTCACCGCACCATCGGGGGAGGAAGGTAGAGACCGCGAATCCTCCTCATCCGACAGCAGCGCCCAAAAACGAGATCCAAGAACCGGCAGCAAAGAGAGAGAAGGGGAGAGATCCACCTGCGGGGAAACAGGAGAGGATAGGGGGAGGGGAGCTACGCATGAAGGTGAGGGCGACCGGACGTCGGCCACCGGGGAAGGGCGGGGAGCAGATCTGCCGAGGCGAGGAGGAGAAGGAGGGGAAGGGAGAAAGAAAGGAGGAGCCATCACCGGGGAAGGGCGGGGAGCAGATCTCAACGAGCAATCTCCTCTACTCCCAAACTCTCATATGACAGATTTCGGGCTTCCGGAAGTTGGAGTATTCAAAACATATGAGTATATCTCATGGTATCTCACATGCTTGAAAGACTTAACACAAGGTAGGTCAAAAATCTAACTGTTGCGCACTAAATCATGTAGCTCGGAGCTTCCAACAATTACGTCCGGAGGCTCCGAAGTGAGCATATATGGTCACCAATGCATGTGAGACTATCATTCAAGCATGCTTTGTCTTGGACCACAAAGCGCATAGGTTTTTTAAATAATAATAATAATAATAATAATAATAATAATAATATTTTCCCCTTAAAGTTGGTAATGCGAGGTCAACAGCATGCACGATGATATTGAGCTCTAACAACCGAACACCATGATTTTTGTTATTGACTAAAATCTTCATTTGAACACGAAAAAGTTTCTTTTTAAGTGCCAAGTTTACAAGACGGTGACTTAGTCAAGTTCAACGTCGGAGAAGTTGTGGTTAAGCAAGATTTGATTAAAGTTTTAAAGATGTTCTACTTTTTAGCAAGCAATTTTAAAAAGTCAAAATTTTCACGATCCACCCAACATTTTTGGAACACACAGTTTACCCAACATAGAGAACGGACAAAATGAAAAGAAACCATCCGTAACAAAAAGAAGCAAATGGCATGAAATGAAAAGCCATGTCGGCCCCAAAACGTCCACTTAGTCATCACGACGTCAGTTCACGTTTCCCACGCATAGCAAACCACAAGAAAAATAAGAAGAAATCTTGTATATATATCCATGCCAGGTTGAGTCATCCACCGTGTATTTTCCACAAGTCATGTCGGCTTCAAAGAGTCCAGCATCTCCGGCATAGAGAACCACAGGAAAATGAGGGAAAACCAACCGTGCCAAGTGAAGAGGAAGAGAAAAATGTCCAATAAGCACATGACATGACATGACATGGCATGATGACCGGTGCATATTCCGTTCCACCTCCATCCACACGCACACTGGTCGACCAAGAGCTCGCCGCGCTGGCCCACACGTCAGCTACCGGTGCAGCACCCTGGTCGGCCGAGAGCTCGCCGCGCTGGCCCACACGTCCGCGACCGGTTCCGTTGAGGTAGGAATTTGAGTCCGTTTTCCTTTTCTCTTTTTCGAGCGGCGACGAAATGCAGTCCACCTCCGTTTGCTACCCACGCACGCGGCCGCGGGCCCACGGCCGGAGGAGCTAGAAAGACCTATCGCCACCAGGCCCGGTCCCGAGGGAAAGGAATCCAGCAAGGCAGCCAGGAGCGCGCCCCCACCCGCCGGCGACGGCCACATGCCGACCGCCTCCTGCCTCCGCCCGCCTCTCCGCAGCGGCCGCTCCGCCGCGGCGGGCCTCAGGTTCCCTCCCCCGGCGGGGCTGGCGATTGGGAGCTGGCGGAGGAGGCTCGCCGGGGTCGGGGTGGCGGCCGCCTCCGCCTCGCCCTTCGACGAGCTCTACGCGCGGGGAAGGCCCATCCACGGCCCCTCCAAGGTGGGCGCCCTCCCCCTAACCCGCCCCTCCCTCGGTCGCATCGCCCAGCCCACTTCTCTCTCCCAAAAAAATTGAATAGTCTGGTTGCTTGTACATATTGAGTTTGTTTATTATCATGGGAACTGTTTGGTTCGTCATGAGATTGAGATGTGGTGCTCTGATGCGGCGGATGGAGCGTCCGCGTGCGGCTTGTAATGTTTTGGTTACTAGATCATCTACCAGGCTCAGACGTGGCCGTTAATCATTATTAATACTTGTGAATAAGATGAGGTTGTTGTTACCATCTGAAAATTGGTGTAGTCCGATGAGATGCTTGAAACCGGTGAATTGTTGATTGGATTAATTGAGAGATCATAATTCGATGCTTCCACTTTTTGTTGCTGCCAGTGTGAGCCCGTGTCAATTTCGTACACAAAGGGACAATTCAAATAATCTGAGTGTTCTGCAAGAGTGGACAAGTAATGAAGTTATAGTCCTAGTATTCTAATATCGCTTGCCCACCGTCATCCTCAGGACTGGTCATCCTGGCAATGGATCTGCTGCTCATCGTCATCCTCAGAACCAGGTCTAAAGAATGGCAAGTCATGATCTTGCTAAAAGAGAGTTGGCTACTTGCTTTTCCTGGTCCTGGGGCTCTCCCACTCTGAATGATGTAGTAACATTTCAGATCTTGAAAATTGGGTTAACTTATGGATTAGATGGGTTTGAGTTGTATGCATCTGAAATACTTTGCACGCACAACTTGGCTGGTACGGGTAAATCATATATATCATATATATACTTAAGTAGTTGATCCCCACTACTTCTATTTATCTCAATATGCACCACATGCCACCTCATCGACCTTATTACTTCTATTTCTCTCAACATGCATGAGAAGTGCTACAGAAAATTGTTTGATTTTATTGTTCTACCTTTACACCCGAAAATTGTTTGATTGTGTTCTAATTGTTTGATTTTATTCTTCTAGGTTCTAGGTTCTTGAGATTGTATAGTCACTCTGCACTCTACAGTGCATTTTAATGACTATGTTTGATTTCCTTGTAGAAATCTACCTTGTGGAATTTGATCCAAGACATAGAGCCTTTGGATCTTAGTGTCATTCAGAAAGATGTTCCTCTTGAAACGGTTGATGCAATGAAGAGGACCATCTCTGGCATGTTGGGTCTGCTTCCATCTGATCAGTTCCGTGTTGTTGTAGAAGCCCTTTGGAGTCCATTTTTCAAGTTATTGGTATCTTCAATCATGACTGGGTAAGTTCTCTGGTTGAAAAAGATATTTTCTTATTGGTTGCACATGGGTTTTCTGAGAGTTGGTTGGTTCATCAGGCACATGAATTTTCTTGTGCTATTTTATTAAAAAAAAATAGATGACAATCAACAATGACCATCTTGCGGAAGTGTATGGCGCTATTAGATGACTACACGTGAACCTGAAAAATATTAGTAAGGAATAATAGCATGTGAATATGGAAAACATACCCAAGTTTGTAGTAGTGGTACAGCCATGGCATGCTATGCGCTAAAATATAAGCACCATAATATCTTGGGAATACGTTTGAATGGTGTTTGATCTTTCATTGTTGGAAAGTGACATTTCTTGGATGTATCCATGCTGTGGTGTTTTCCTGGTTTTCTTCCATCCTGCTAGTATACCTTTGTTTTCTTGAACCGTTCATTGTTTATGTTCTTTCAATGTGTTGAGGTTCATCTGTTCCATTTGGTTAATTACTAATGTGGTGGTATTGATAGCTTGGGCCTATTTTTCACTCCCTCCGTTCCACAACAAGAATTATGGAACGGAGGTAGTAGGTTAGAAATCGTGATCTTCTTGTTAGTGCTGCTGAGTTGGTTGTCACTTGCTAATCACTCATTCGTGGAGAAATAAAAGCTAGTTGCCTGCCCTCATCTTTTTTAGCCTGATAGTTACCTACTTGACTATGTTTTACAATTTTGGCCTGGAATTTTGGTGCACCTATTTTCAGTAAAGCTGGCTTTTTTTGTATATGCTAATTATCATGAAGTTCATGTTGTCGATATGAGTTGCCTGGAGATATGGATAAGAATTCCTTCCTTTGCCGGTAAATGAATAGGAATCAGGTCAATAAAACTGGAACAGTTTCAGCCTTCCTCTTGAATTGAGCTACTATCAAGGACATCATTCCCATGTGATAGCTCCTGTTACATTTTTTAAATGTTGGCTATATGACAGATGGGTTATTGCATCTATTTCTATCAGTACTAGCATAATGCCTGGGTGTTGCTACGGAACTACAAAATAGTTGAAGTTGCATTGGATTAGCAGTATACAACAACCAATGGACTTGAACACTGCAAAGAAAAACTCAAGCAAGCCCGCAACACTGCACTGTGTAACTGCACTGCCATGGGAGCACTGACATGTACTTATAAAATACTTTCTCATTCAAAACATGAGTGAGGGGATCGCTTGCTGGTTTGATTGAGCTGGGTGTACACACATGTGTGCGCTTTGAGGCTTCCCAACGGCATTATTTTTTACTGTTCCGTCTATAAAAAAAAATCAAACCAGAGGAGTCTGATGGGTTCTAGATGGATGAGAAAGATAGGGATGGAATGGGGAGTGAACTCTTCCAAACCAGGAAGGGGGATTAGGATGAGGGAGATTAGGATGGAATGGGGATTGAACTTACTGCTCCCACCACCAACTCCAATTTATAAGGTAGTAGAGATTTTGAACAAGTTTGAAGCAACTGTTTGTAGTCTTTGTTTTGTTTGCGAAGTGATTTGTATTAACATGTTTATTCAAAGCACAGCCGACATGTATTGATGTACCAGAAGGCTGTAGTGCTTACTTCATTTCTTCTTGCAGGTATACTCTACGTAATGCTGAATGCAGGCTCTCTTTTGAAAGGAACCTAGAACTTTCTGAAGAAGATGCTGAATGTGAGAAAAGAGACACGACTGAAGATAATCTTCATGATATCAATTTGGGTAGGCCTGTTACAATTTTCAGATTATCGGAAGACGACATGCCCCAGGACTCTGGAAAAAGTGACGAAGAATCATCTGGTGAGAGTATGGGGGAAATGTTAAGTAACTTAACACCCCAAGTGGAAGAGCAGATTATTCGGTTGCAATCTCGTTTGGATGCGATGAAAAAGGTAATAGTCTCAAATCATATGTCCTGATCAGGAATATTCAAATAATCGTGAACAAACTTCTTTCGGTTTATTGGTTATTGCTTTTATCATGTACCTGGTTATATTGCCTGATTCATTACTTAGTATGATTTTGTTTATTCCCATGCCTTCTGTTTCCTGTCTGTAAATGACTATTGATCAGATATAAATTTTAAAAAATGTCTGCAATATATCTATCTTGTTAGGCCTGTGAATCAAATATTGTCTTCTGCTGCCATTGGAACTTTACAGGTTCATCCCAACCATGTACTCTACTTTTACAATTTTCTTGTTAAACATATATGCTAAAGTCATCTTTAACTTGTATTTGTATTACTGAGAACTGATCTGACACCAATTGAATTTCATTTCGATCCGCTATTATTGCTATGCACTGAAGTCCGCTGCTTTGTGCAACTTTTGTTGTCGTAAATTTCTTAAGTGCTATATTTATATGACGGCCACCGCTTTGTGCAACTGTTTCTGTGAAAATCCTAGTTGATAATTTTGGGACCCGATAAATCCCAAACGTTCGGATTTTAAGCATGTCACCCCAAACGTTTTTTCATGGCAACTTTAGTTGTTAAAACATGGCAACTTTGTCCCAGTTCATTTTTTTGTCAGAACATTGCCATGTTTGCCAACCTCGCGTGAACTATAGTTGCCATGCTTAAAATCCAAACCTTCCGGATTTATCATTTCCGTAATTTTGTGGCTGACTATATGCATTGTGCCTGTTGTGTTCAAACCTGAAGGTTTATTGCTTTATAATCTTGTAGGAGTTGCATGACCTGAAGAGGAAAAATTCTGCCCTTCAAATGCAACAGTTTGTTGGAGAAGAGAAAAATGATCTGCTAGACTATCTAAGATCCCTAACACCAGAGAAGGTATGTACATCTCAACAGCTTACTGATGACTAATTGCTCTTGGTACAAACCCCAAGCAACAAAGAAAATCCAGAGATTGGTCCTAGGTTTCTTTACAGTGGCCTGACTAGCTGTTGTGCACAGGTTGCTGAACTCTCGGAATCCACCTGTCCCGGTGTGCAAGAGGCTATCCAGTCTGTTGTGCATGGTTTGCTTGCTACTCTTTCCCCCAAGGTACACTCAAAGTCTCCTCCGCCACTAGAGAATGCTGGGGGAGCCCTAAATCGTGGGGGTGAGGACGATGACTGTGCAGAGCTTGTCGAGAATACTTCCCTCCCGTTTCAGCCCCTAATATCTGTCCCACGTGATTATCTTGCACGTTTGCTATTCTGGTAAATACAAATCAGATTCGTTATGCTTTGTTTGATTTGGCCTTTCTGTTCATGGCCAATTAGTGATTGACATTGCGTCCTGCTCAGGTGCATGTTGCTGGGTCACTACATCCGGGGTCTGGAATACCGGTTAGAGCTGGCACACCTTCTCAGAATATCTAGCGACGTGGGGTCTTTCCCCATTGATGACAATCATTTTATTTGAGAAAGCTTCGCTGGCTTATTGAGATCCATCAGCGAAGAGGATGGAAATGCACTGGCCAAGAGGCCGCAGAAGTTGCTGTTTGGGGCATTTCCTGACAATGAAACAGGGAGTTCTGGGCCATAGCTCCTGTTGTAGTTCTTGTAAAGTCGGAACGAAGGCGTTCGGGTGTAAAGTTAGTGTTACATATCAATGTGAACAATATATTTTATTTCCTTCTATTTATTGTGTCGTATACAAAATAAACATGTTGTTCTTGCTGCTAATCTCGTGGTAGCATGGTGGATACTGGGTATTAGGCATCCCTTGTACTCATAGGTTGTATGTATTTGTCTAATGTTTATCACGTGAATGATATTATATTGTCGAGTCGTATCAAGGTTCCTGGACGTGTGTACCGATATAACAGCTCTAGATGGATGGTTCTTGATGAAGGTAAGTAGTGTACAGTCTGCCTTTAGTATATTGTGAACTCCCTTCTGCCACTCAAACGGATGTATCTAATGCTGCCTTTAGTATATCTTGTACTCCCTTCTGCCACTTAAACGGATGTATCTAACGCTGAAACATGTTTTGATATATCTGTTTGAATTTGCTCGAACAGATGTATCTAACATTGAAATATGTTTAGATACATTCATCTTAACAGAATATGGAACGGAGGGATATATCTGTTTGAATCTGCTCGAACAGATGTAAGGAAGTAGATAGTTACGTATGATGTAATAACTTTGATTTGAGATCCAAGAAATAGTACTCCCTCTGTCCTAAAATTCTTGTCTTAGATTTGTCTAGATATGGATGTATCTAATACTAAAATGTGATTTGATATATCCGTATTTAGACAAATCTAAGACAAGAATTTAGACAAATCTAAGACAAGAATTTTAGGACGGAGGGAGTATCTGATTCATACATCTACCATTTCACAATTTTTGTTATATTGATTCATCAAAACCCATAAAAGCTCTAAAAGCATCTATTTATGAGCTTTTATGGCTTTTTGGTCAAAGTGGAAAAGTTGCAAAAGTAGAAGCAAAAACTCAAACAAACGGGGCCTTAGAGCATCTCTAGCATACCACGTATAATGCCCCGACCCGCAAAATAACCGTCAAAATACGTGCCCGCGCGAAAAAAGCCGTCCGATCAGACAATGTAAATGCGCCTGACCCGTAAAAAATTTGAGGGTCGCGGTAAAATCTCACCTCCAACCCGCGAAAACATAGATTTTCCCCTTGACCCAACGGTGCCCTGTATCTCAGAAAAGCGGTTGGCGGGAGGGACATTTCAGCCCGCTCGTGTTCCCCACCCCCCTTCCGCAGCCGCCCGCCATCGGTTCCGCCCGTCCGCCGCCGGCGATTCCGGCCATATCTGCGGACGGAATCACGCCGCCGGGGCGCCCCTCACCCGGTTCCACCTAGCCGCTTCATTGGCTCCCCGGATCCGCCGAGCCGAGCCGCCCCGAGTCGCCATCACTGCCCTGGGATCGAACGCCGCAGAGCCACCGCCCGAGCCGCCGGTGAGTACATGTGCTTGTGCTTTCGGATGCGATATGCATAGTTGGTTCATGCGGCGTCCGTATTTGTGATTTTAGATGGAATTGAGCCCTCGTGAGACTAGCTAGAGACCCTAACCGCATTAGAGCATTTCTTCAGACCTACCCGAAGATTGAAGATGCAAACACCCACTTTTAGCTTCAGGAGGATCTAATTGAGCACCATTGGCAAAGGGCTAGGCGGTAACACATTCTATTTTTGCATTCATTTCATTTAATTCATGTGAGATTTGTATTCGGGACAAGGTTTGTATTGAATTATTTAGTTTGCTTCGGTGATTTCAATAATTATTGTAATTTGGATGATTGTTGTATTGTAATATTGATATTTTATCTTATATTGAATTAATGAATATGTGGCATATGTGTCAAATTCAGATAAAAACCCATCTGATTTGCGGGTAGCGCGGGCTGTGACCGAGCAAACCCCGCATAGCGGAACTGTAAAGATATTCCGTTTTACAGTTCCGCTGTGCGGGGTCTGCTCGGCCGCCGTCCTCGCCGGCCCGCTAAGCCATTTTTCCGCGATCTGTAAACGAGTTTTGTGGGTTGATGTCGCTTGAAACTACGTCGGTATTTCCCCAAAGAGAAAGGGATGATGCAGCACAGTGATGGTAGGTATTTCCCTCAGATAAGAAACCAAGGTTATCGAACCAGTAGGAGAACCAAGCAACACAACGTAAACAACACCTGCACACAAATAACAACTTCTCGCAACCCGACATGTTAAAGGGGTTGTCAATCCCTTTCAGGGTACGACGCCTCAAGATAGGCAAACAGACATGAGGTGTAACGTCCTCGATGCGGCTATATCTCCTACGTGTCGAAGCACGACTTAGAGGCATAACCACATTGAAAGCAATGTCGCAAGTGAGGTAATCTTCGCAAATAATCCATGTACATAAATAAAGGGGAAAGGTACATAGTTGGCTTACACTCGCCACGTCACACAAATACATAAATAAGTCATTACATTCATCCAATACACTCAGGGTCCGACTACGGAACCAAAATAAAGATCAACCCCCAAATGCGACAAAGTCCCCGATCGCCCCAACTGGGCCCCACTACTGATCATCTGGGAAAGACACATAGTAACGACGAGAGTCTTCATCGAACTCCCACTTGAGCTCGGTCATATCATCTGGAGCGGCATCATCGGTCCCTGCATCTGGTTTTGGAAGTAATCTGTGAGTCACGGGGACTCAGCAATCTCACACCCTCGCGATCAACACTATTTAAGCTTATAGGTAAGGTAAGGTATGATGTGGAGCTGCAGCAAGCAACTAGCATATATGGTGGCTAACATATTCGCAAAAGAGAGCGAGAAGAGAAGGCAAAAGCACGGTCGAACAACTATGATCAAGAAGTGCCCCTAAAACAACCTACGTCAAGCATTACTCCAACACCATGTTCACTTCCCGGACTCCGCCGAGAAGAGACCATCACGGTTACACACGTGGTTGGTGCATTTTAATTAAGTTAAGTTTCATGTTATCTACAACCGGACATTAGCAAATTCCCATCTGCCCATAACCGCGGGCACGACTTTCGAAAGTTCAAATCCTTGCAGGGGAGTCCCAATTTAGCCCATCACAAGCTCTCACGGTCAACAAAGGATATTCCTTCTCCCAAGACAATCCGATCAGACTCGATATCCCGGTTACAAGACATCCTCGACAATGGTAAAACAAGTCCAGCAACACCGTACGAATGTGCCGACAAATCCCGATAGGAGCTGCACATATCTCGTTCTCAGGGCACACTCAGATGAGACTAGCTACGAGTAAAATCAACCCTCAAGTTTTCCCGAGGTGGCCCCGCAGGCAGCTCAGTTTGGACCAACACTCAGAGGAGCACTAGCCCAGGGGGGTTTAAATAAAGATGACCCTCGGGCTCCGGAAACCCAAGGGAAAAAGAGGCTAGGTGGCGAATGGTAAAACCAAGATTGGGCATTGCTGGAGGAGTTTTATTCAAGGCGAACTGTCAAGGGGTTCCCATTATAACCCAACCGTGTAAGGAACGCAAAATCCGGGAACATAACACCGATATGACGGAAACTAGGGCGGCAAGAGTGGAACAAAACACTAGGCATAAGGCCGAGCCTTCCACCCTTTACCAAGTATATAGGTGCATTAAGATAAACAAGATAATATTATGATATCCCAACAATAAACATGTTCCAACAAGGAACGATCTCCAATCTTCACCTGCAACTAGCAACACTATAAGAGGGGCTGAGCAAAGCAGTAACATAGCCAAACAACGGTTTGCTAGGACATGGTGGGTTAGAGGTTTGACATGGCAATATAGGAGGCATGATAAGCAAGTGGTAAGCATTGTAGCATAGGCATAGCAAAAGAGCGAGCATCTAACAAGCAAAGATAGAAGTGATTTCGAGGGTATGGTCATCTTGCCTGCAAAATTCTCAGAGTTGCCTTGATCCTCGTAAGCGAACTCAACGGGCTCCTCGTTCACGAACTTTTCTCCCAGCTCTACCCAAGCAAGAACAACAAGTAAAGGGAGAACAATCAACCACATGCAATGCACAAACAACATGATGCAAACATGGTATGATATGCGGGATGCGATATGTGATGCATATGCAAGATTTGGAAAGGAATGATTGAACCTGGCCTCAACTTGGAAATCCAAGAGTGCCACTGGAAAGGTGAGATGATTTCGGTAGAAATCGATATAAAGATCACCGGAATCGGAAGCACGGTGTGGAAATGGCAATCAAAACAAATATGACACCGGTCTGCGATAAATAGCAAGTAGCCTCCTAAATGCATCAAGAACAACATGCTACAGCACTCCAACATGACAACAAAATACATGGCAGGGATCCAATCATGATGCTTGACAAAATATGAACACTGATCTACGGCTAATTCACTCATTAACAGGTTCAAACAAGCATGGCAAAAGTCAGGAATTTATCACCAGGAAGTAATCTTACGAGCATGATAACTACATGCTACAGGAACATATCATGGCAAAGCAAGGTATGGCATGAAGCTACTCTAAGCATGTAACAAAAATCCCTTAGTGACCTTGAGCCAAAAGGGATCAGAAAATACAATTGCAAGCATGCGAACATAGCAAAAACATAAACAGATTCAGACTTAGTGAAAAACTGGAGCATGCAAAACAGATTAACAAGTAGGCATGTTTACGAGCTCGATGCACTCACTACGAGGCATTGCATGACAAACTAAGCATACACCCATCAAGAAGACATGGTATAGAGACTATACATGACAAGAACAACATCATAGCATGCACGGATCAATAGCAACAACCTCGGCAAAATCGCTAAACATGTTAACAATATGCCAGGAACATTTTATAGCAAAAGTAGAGCTCGATTGACTCAAGCTAGGGTGCTCCATAATTACAAAAAAAAGACATGGATGGATAGATCACCACAATATTAACAAAACAT